GATCAGGATTTGTGTGTCTGTATCTGCACACACACACATACATTTTGTAACCTATGTCAAATCCAAAGTGATTTACTAAATACTTTCCTAGGTAAAGCTGTTCTCAGACTACAATACAACATACTTCTGACATGTTTCTAAGACAGATTGGTCAGAACACATACAGGATACCAAACTAATTCCAAACTCCTTATTTTCTATGGCACACCTTCTGCTTTATTTACATGACAATGAATATCCTGTCTTTATTAGTGTTTTCTAACCAAAAGTGTTCTGAAATTATGATCGAAGAAGAAAATCAGAGGTTCTAATCTTTAAAAAGTAGATCACTTTCCTAGCTATAAAATTTATAAGGTGCTAATCAAAAAAAGACTTGTAAAAAAGTGCTTCATACTGAAACAACTTCATCACCCTTCCCCTCTTCTCTATATTCAAAGATGTCCAAATACCACCCCCAAATGTCTATGTATCCCAACATCCAAAAAAGTATCCCAAATGTCCCAAAGCATCCCAAACAATCCTGAAGTATCCCAGACGTCTATTTGCCAATCCTCCCCAAATTATAAGAAATACCTGGATTCTAGCCTTGGTTCCTCGAAGAGACAAAAATCATCTCCATCGTCCCAAATTTTGGCTGAACATTTCCTATTCCCACCAAGCTGAGGCTTGTTTGAACGACCACTGCTGCCTCCTCCTCTTCCACTGCCTCCTCTTCCTCCTCCTCCTCTCCCTCTTCCTCCTCCTCTGTTGGGCTTTCCTCTTTTCCTTCCGGCTGAACTCATGTTCTCTTGCTGAAGAAGATGAAAAAATAGCTCTTATTTATGAGGATGATTTATCACATTGCATATGTCTAAGCACTCATTATTTGTTTGTCTCTGTGACAAGAGAAGGCACTCTGTCAAACCACAGTGAATGATTTGTATGTGGGTGTGTCTGTATGCACCTGGAGCAAGCATCACTATTCTAGAACATTGTTTAGTAAGTTCTGTGGCTTTAAAAAACAAAACAAAACAAAAAAGTAATATTCCTCACAGCTATTTAGCCAAAACCTGCAGGTTTGACAAAACTATCCAAAACCTGCAGGTTTGACAAAACTATCTGGCTTCATACTCTCTGGATGAGCCTACCAGCAGTGCTGCCTAGCCTGGGGGCTCCAGTTCTGTCACTCTGATGGAGTTTTCTTGGACACTGAAGCCCACAGGAAAAACTTTCAGGGGAATTTTCACGGAAGAAAGCAGTCTCTGCGCTGTCCATTTTCGACTCAGGAGTTTGCAGGGTTGAGAGTAAAAGGTGGAAGGGGGGCTAACGCCAAAGATACAATGTTTTTTTCATGTTAACTCACGTCAAACTCCTGACCCATCTGCTTCTGCAGAGAGCTGCCCAGACTGCTGAGCGCTCTGCGAAGGGGAGTGATTGGGGACTTGTCTTGGAAAGCAGAACACCTCCTCTTCTCATAGCAGCATCTTCCCCAGCGCTCACACAAGCCCATTAGCACTGAGCAGCTGTCAGGGACAGAATGGCCCATCATTATGCTCCATTCCTGCTAATGGAAAGCCATTGCAGGGCAGGTGAGCAGCCGCGGGCAGCCTGTCAGGAGCTTATCACCTGGATCTTTGCACTGGCACCTCCACAGTCAGGACAAGACCGGCCACGCACAGCCCAAACGAGGGCTTGGAGGAGCGGCAGCGGTTTGGGGTTAGATGGCAGCCAGCTCCCCCTTTTGTGGCCGCTCTCCTCACCGGAGCTCAGCCGGGGCCGGACAGGAGTTCACAGACAAGCCGAGCCCGCTCGGAGAAGCCCGCGGTGAATGAAGGAGGCGAAGAGGGCGAGCACGGCAGGCGCTCCCGGGGCCGCTGTCACACGGGGTCTGTCTCCCTCTCCCAGCCCTGCCCCTCTCCCCAAGACCCATCCCCTGCCCACCCACCCACCCGCCTCCTCTCAGCCTCTCTCGCAGACCCGCCGCACACCCCCTTCCTCTCCAACCCCGCTCCCCGCGACTCCCTCCGGGGGCTCCTCCGTCCGGTTCTCACCTCCCCGCCCGGCACCGGCACCGGCACCCCAGAGCTCCCTCACCCGGATCCGCCGCCTTTCCCTTCCGGGCCGCGGCCGCCCCCGCCGCGCTCCTCCCCGTGGGCAGGGCCTGGGGCTCCCCAGGAAAGAACGAGCGCTCAAGCGCAGCAGTGAGAGGTACGTGTGGCTTTAGGCTGCCATGAGCTTTGTTACCTTAAGAGAGCCCGGAGAAAAAAAAAACTCCGGGCCAATTTAGTGTATAAGACAAAAGAGAGGAGGTCCTTTAATCTCAGGCCTGAGGCCCAGGGAATACACATGACGTGCGCCCACCCAGACGGTGGTTCTCTGGTTTTATAATAAGGTCCATCCAGTCCCAGATTTATCCACCTCTGGTTCTGCCCCGTTCTGCCCCCCCGACACGCCCCTCTGGGAATTGGGTCGGGGGGTGTGTGGGACCCCTTCTTCCTCATCTTCATCTTCTCCACAGCACGCACAGTCCTTGGAGTTCCTCCAAAGGTCTGGGCTTGAGGGTTGCTGTGTCTGTGTAATATCTTCTGATCCAGGCTTTTCTACAATTCTATCTTGAAGACTATAAATGCACTAACGGAATTTAGAGTGTTTGATACGAGATTGGGTAACAGGGTTGGATATGTGTAAATATTATGCTACAGGGTAAGGGATATAATACAGCTACATTAAAATCTACAGTTACTACTTCTAAAATCTACAAAAGTTAAAAAATCTGAAAAGCTCTGAGGCACCAGTTTGAATATATATATGTATATATATGGGTGTATATATATATATATATGTATGCTTGAATTTTGGCCAGCAGCTGTAACAGTGACACTGGCTGTTGAGAAACAGACTGTAGTGGTTTTTTAAACTATCTTTCGTATTCCCAAAAAAAGACAAATACGGCAGTTGAAAATCTTGGCAGGTGTTCGCTGCACCAACCCACAAGTCCTATCGGGAGTGGCTGAGCGAGCTGCCGGTGTTCAGCCTGGAGAAAAGGAGGCTCAGGGGAGACCTTATAACTCTCTAAGGCTGCCTTGAAAGGAGGTTGTAGCCAGGTGGGGGTTGGTCTATTTTCCCAGGTAACAAGTGACAGGACAAGAGGAAAGGGCCTGAAGTTGTGACAAGGAAGGCTTAGATTGGTTATTAGAAAACATTTCTTCATGGAAAGAGTGGTCAGGCTTTGGAACAGGATACCCAGGGAAGTGGTAGAATCACCATCTCTGGAAGTGTTCAAAAAACATGCAGATGTGGCACTTTCAGGACACGGGTTAGTGGTAGGCCTTGCAGTGTTGAGTTAATGGCTGTACTCTGTCTTAGTGGTCTTTTCTAACCTTAACTCCAGAACTGAGTGTGTGGGATCAAAAGGGAGGAAGGCTATACCAGTTTCAGAGTGTGGGTAATATAAGTGACAAGAGACTCCAAAGCTGTGTTACTGAGGTTGGGAGGCCCCTCTGCAGATTGCCGACACACACAGGGTCACCCATGATAGCTGCTCTGCAGCACATCCCGTCGGGTCTTGAGTAATAACTCCATGGAAGGAGACTCCACAACTCCTCCAGGCAACCTATACCAAGTTGAAGTTAAAAGCAAAAAATCCTACCAGAAAAAAAAAAAATCTTCACTGGTTTGGCTGTATAAGAACCACCACACCCCGCAACCCAGACACACAGCAGCTGCCATGAGGTTGTTTCCTCAGGGTCCTCCTGCAGACGGCCACAGCCACTGCCCTGATGAGGCAGACCATTGAGGTCTGCTCTGCCCCAGGCCAGCTCCCCACCACCCCACAACGGGGCTCAGTGGCGAAAAATGGCTGATAAGACTGCTGCTGGTTCACACTCTGTGCCCCCCAAAGGTTCCATGGGCCCATCTCTGGGAGCCTGTCCGCAGGAGATGGAGAGTCACATCTGAGAGAAACAGCTCTGTGCAACAGAAGAAATGCATTGCATGATCTGCTGGGGTTTTGCCTCTCAGATGCTGTCTGTCTTGAAGTGAAAATACTTGTCTTCCACCGTTTTCATTTTCTACAGGGGAACTGCAAAAGGACGAGTGCGTGCTCGAGGCCTCACAACAGGGCCAATGCAACTATGTATGTTAGCTGCTGGAAAAACGACAAGGCAGTTTTACTTATTCCTTCATTTTAAGCTTCCTCTGTAATTGGAAAATCAACATATCCACCCTTAAAAAGGCACAGAAAGGAAAGTCATAACCCAAAAAAGATCAGATGAATGCTGCAGGCTCTTTTTCCACCTGGGCATCTTGTCACAGCCCGGTCTGAAGACTTGACACATCTGTAGTCTTCAGGTGTCCTCCAGCCTCCCGAGGGTCCTGCAAACACACCAATAATTGCTGGGAGGCAGGTCCCAGTGAAACACCTGGGCAGTATGGTGTTGGTGGTGTCTAACACATACACCCACTGTGAAAACCCTGTCTGAATGTGCTGTGCGTACAGAGTGGGCTCTCCTGCATGTGTATATCCACCACACGCATATCCCACAAGGAAATGGGAGCTCTGGTCATTGACAGGTACACTGTTGTGTGGCCGCCCTTGGTTACTGAGTTCCCCAGGAATTAATGAGGAAGAATAGGAAAATCGTCCATTTTGTTGACACTATAGAGAAAACAGTCCTTGAAACGATACAAATAGTGGTCTGTGACTTTATTGGACCTAGTCTGGCTTTTTTTTTCAGTCTCTTACAAAAATATTGGTGCAACAGTGAGAACTGAGATTATGGCACAGAAGTGCTTCATAGCACAGATTCAAATCTCCAAGCATTGCTTAGTGGCCTAGGCTGTCAAATGAAAGGTTTGCTCTGCCCTGATCCACAGAAAGAAATTCTGAAAAATTTAATTAACCCCTCAGGCTGTCAGGGTAAAGGAGTTATATGCAGTTCCACGCTGCATAGATTGTTAAGATCCCATGAGACTACCAGCAGAGGAGGGGTTTATTGGACACCGTGGTCAGCCCAAAACTTCTAAGCTCTTACCTAAATTCCTTGTAAAAGCAGGAACAGATATATCTGCCATAATCACTTTCTCCTACTTGATCATACCTGAGTGTGATAGCAGACTCCAAGGCAGCAGTGGGAAAGGAAATTGTAATGAAAGGAAATAATAATGTAAGCATAATTATTAACCATTGTCTTCATCTCTCAAATGCAGATTAATGGTGCTGGAAGGCTAGAACATCCTTCTGGAGCAGTTTATGAAGGGGAATTCAGACATGTTTCACTGGGCTGCAGCCTGCAAATTTCCAAATGGATCAAAGTACCTTGGACTGTTCAATGAAAACGTTTGAAATGGAAGAGTTGTGCAAACTTTTCTATTAGTTTTGATTTTATAAGCTGTAATGTCCAAATAAAATTCACCCCAGATGGGAGCAGGTTTCTTTTGCTACCAGTGAAACTTGCACTGGGTACCTGAGATTGCTTATCCCAGTTGTGTCCATTTCATGAGATCAGTCCAAACTATGTATTTCATTCCCAGTCACAAGTTTTCAAGTTGGCTATTTCACCCACCCACTTTTCGTTACCAGGTCTCTGGGCTCAGGCAGAGTTCAAAGAAATAGAATAGTTCAGACCTCTTTCAGAGCTGTTGTTTCAAGCTGTTTGCATTGTCTGCTTGTTAAATTTGCTAGGTTTAAGTTTCATTTTTCTTTAAGTACTTCCGCCAATCCAGTACCTGAAATAAATCTAAAATGCGTATTTGTTAATATTTGGCCTTTCCTCAATTAAAAAAAAAAAAAAAAAAAGCTCTGTCTTACCCTCCTGACAAAAAATAATAGTCACAATAGTACCAGTTTGATGACCAGTTCTATTTTTAAGTTGTCAAACTCTAAATGAGATATGTGTTATAGAATGTACCTGGATACAAAACAGAAACTTGTATGGCAAACTCTAATGTTTGGGGAAAAAAATTATTTCAATACTTTAGAACATACTGAGTTAATTTATACCTCTATTAAAATGGCATAGATTTTTACAGATCATACAATAACTGGCTGCATACATCAGCCGTACATCAAAGTCAGGATAAACTTAATAGGACTTCATATAAACTTAATCCCTGTTAACTTCAAATCATGACTGGTTTTTTCCTTCAGAGGATGCATGCTGAGAGGATGTTAGTATACATCCAGTTTTGCAAAGAAGGGAATATGTTCCTTGGATGAATAACCAGCATGCTTTGTAGGTCAAAACTTTTACAGGCTACAATGTTGTAGAAAGTTAAGGCAGGTACTTATCCTACACTAGGAAGCTTCTGATTCCTGGCCACATCAGCTACCAGAGCTGATTGCATTCTCAACAGGCTGGATTTCTGTCAGTACAGTATGGAAGGTGAAGGAGAATTTTAAGATGAAAATGGAGTGGAGTGGCACATTTCATGGCTCGGCAGCAGTGGGACTGAAGCAGAAGCTGAAAATGCAGCTGTTTGGTACAGACAGTAACATGGGTTAAAGGCAACTACCTGGGCTCAACAGCTGTGACCAGTTTTCAACAGGCATTGATTTCTTCATGTTTTAATTAAAACTGACCTCTGAGCATGCATGCTAATAGCAGATAAAATTATTTTCTTTTCAGACTGATCAACTGAAGTCTCTTACGTCTTTAAAGAAATGAAGTTGGGTAGGGTGAAGTCATAAGTGCAGCAGTTGGTGACTAGAATTTCCCCCTGGAAAGTCTTAAGCAATCTAAGTAGAAAAATCAATTTGTGTTTTTGTTTGCATTTGGTCATCAAAGTCTCTACACTATGGATTTAAATACTTTGCTTTATAAAAGGGAAAAGCTGCTTTCTGGTTAAAAAAAACCCGAACAAAACACAATATACCAGTGCTGTCAGGAAAAAATGCATTGAGTCTTTGCTTGCCAGATTTTTAATGGAATTTTAGTAAATACCACTCCTTGCCTCCATTTGAAGACACGACGTACAAATGCTGTTCCTTCAGATGTGCCTTTAAATACTCAGCCAATTTTGCTAGGATTCAGAAACATCTTGGGCCCTGTGGTTTATTAGCAAAATGAAAAACCAACACATTATCAGCAAACAGACATACTGGGCCATATGAAACAGAGCAGCTCATGGATCACTTGGCAATATAATGCCTTACAGCCCTTCTTCTCAAACTGCCTGCAAGAAAATCCATATTTGAAATGTTTTGTTCATAGATTCAGCTAAATGTTCTTATTTATTAAAAAACAAACCCTTCCTAGCTTGAACTGTTTGTTGAATTCATGGGTATCCGTGACTCAACTAAGATGCACTTTCCAGCAAATTCCTTCATAATTATAATTTTATTTTGTTCAATTTTGTTGTGTTTTGCTTCTGAAATAGCCAGCTCCAAAAAAAGAAATACTATGTCCTCTGTCCCTAGTCCTTGACTTCAGAGGTAGCAGCATCTTCCACAGAGCTTCTGTTAATTTAGGAGCTTGTCCTTTCAGCTC